TTCTTATAATTCGCATTCACTTCGTATTCGTTTGCAAAGTATAACCTTCATATCGACCTCTGTCTAGTTATCGCTTCTCGGCCTTATGGCTAAGATCAAAGTGTAGTATCTGTTCTTATCAGCTTAACATCTGATAGATCCTCCATCGGGGGACAACAAATGTTAAACTGATTTTTGGAATCTGACGGAAGTTCAAAGGGCTTGCTCCACTTCTGTCGCGGGTTGGCCCGGTATTGCAGTACCGCCGGGATTTCGGCCCACACATAAAATAATAAATTTCAAGTACCACGAATAGATATTTCTCCAATGTGCTGCTATGTCTGGATATTTTAAGGGAATATATTTCAAAGCTTTGATAAGAGTGGAATTTTTTCTAGGGAATACTTTGCTCAAAGGCCAAAAAGGCGTGGATTTTTTATTAAAGGAATATTTTTCAACAAGGCGTGAATTTTATAAAGAAATATTTTTCTTAAGGCTCTCTATTAGACGTGGATTTGTTAAAGGAATATTTTTGGAGGCCCATTAGGCGTGGATTTGTTAAAGGAATATTTTTTGGAGGCCCATTAGGCGTGAATTTGTTAAAGGAATATTATTTTAAAGGCCCATTAGGGGCGGATTTTTAAATGAATATTTTTCAATCCTACACTAAGCGTCGATTTTTTAAAGTAATATTTTTTCAACCCTACACTAGGCGTGTTTTTTTTAAGAAATCACAGAATATCATTGGTTGTGTGTCGATAGGTATCTGAAGGACGGAGTTCATCATCGGAACCTTTGGTTTGTACAGCTTACCCTCTACAAAAGGAACGATGTCATTAACTATGGGACTAAGGAGTCTTCAAACGCCCTTAGGAAATAATTATTGAGATTGATCTCCTTTAGGAGAAAACATTCTACTTGTAGAAGGAGAGAAGGTAGTAAAATGTTTTCTATGGGAAGACCAATAGAAGATAATGAAATCTTATTATCCTATTGGGGATGAAAGAGATTGGTGAGTATATGAAAACCCCAGTAGGAACAATTAGCCATAGATCAAAGTTTGGAAATATGGCGTTATCACTTTTTCTTGTTGGCGACCCTATTAAACATGAAGAGATTACTCAAAATCTGGTTTCGTAGCCATTGTATGTATTTTTGGAGATTATATTCCATCAGTAACATCGAATAAGGAATTTGTTTGTAGAACATTTCGTCCTCCTACATTGATTCCTTGTATGTCCTTTTCGTCTTGAAGGTATTGAACCGAACTGTAACCAGGGGGCGGAACAGTATAGTCGGACGGGACCGACCATATGATACCCTACACAACTACCACGAGAATCAAAATTTCTGCGGTTCTATATTCTGAGCCTGGGCAATATTTCGAGATCAACCACTTCACTTTCTAAGCCTGGCATATTTTCAATTTTTTTCTTGAAGTGAATTTTCACGCCATAAAATAAAAAATTTGTCACTTTAGGTTTTGGTTCATTTGACCCTCGCAATATTTACCGATCATCATCATGTAAAATATGTAATACTCCGCATATAATAATTGTCTCTAGAGCGACTAGAAAATCTGACAAAATTAAAGTTTTCGGTTCATTGCACCCCCTGAATGAAATCTCAACTTCGCCGAAAACTATAGGCGTCGTCCTTGACCATAATCGGAAGTTCATGTGCAATTTCAAAGCTATCAGCGCGACATTTCCGTCCTATAATGGAGGAATAGTAATACTATGCACATAGTCACCTTTACCTAATTACGTATAACTCCCACATCAGAGTAAATGCAACCATAAGTTTGGTACCAATTTGAAGGTCAACAACTCCTCTTGGATATACTATCAACTACTCGGGTTTATGTCCTTCAGGAGTAAATATATACGCCATAGAATACAAATTTTGAAAATTTTCACACAAAAGTCAGGGTCTATTTGACCCGCTAAATATTGACCGATCTTTATCAAAACAAGTATGCTTATTCTTTGGTCCGATCCCCTTCTCCATGTGAAAATTAGAGATGTTTGGGCCATAATTGTGGCCTCTGGAGCGACCAGAAAAACCGACAAAAATTAAGTATTTGGTCCCCCAAATCTCCTAAATATTTCATCCCCTAAATATTAACCGATCTTTATCAAAAAACAATAGGTGTCTTCATTGGCCAGAACCCATCCAACATGCAAAATTTCTTGATGATTTCTTGATAAATAAATTTCGAAGAAGACAGAACCGGATACTAAGATAATAAAACCGGTTTCAATACCTTATATGCATATCATTAGAAAGCTAAAAAAACAAACGTGCTAAAAATAAATGTCGAGGAAAAAATAACCGGTTTCATAATTTTTGAACCGGATATTCAGATTAAAAACCGGTTTCAATGATATTATTTGCATATTAGAAATTAGAAAGCTAGTAAACAGTCGTGCTAAATTTATTGAACCGGACTATAATCGGGTTTATTATTTTAATATGCGGTTCAAATTTTTTCGAAACCCGGTTCTTTTTTACTCGAAATTATGTAGAACTGTCGGATTCGTACAAATTATTTTCTAAAAACAAATAAAGTTATGTCAAATACGTCAAATAAATACATTTCGAAGAAGACAGAACCGGGTTTTTAAATTTTTGAACCGGATACTAAGATAATAAAACCGGTTTCAATGATATTATTTGCATATCATTAGAAAGCTAGTAAACAATCGTGCGAAATTTATTGAACCCGACTATTGTCGGTTTTATTATTTTAATATGCGGTTCAAAATTTTTTCGTACAAATTATTTTCTAAAAACAAATATAGTTATGTCAAATAAATAAATTTCGAAGAAGACAGAACCGGGTTTTTAAATTTTTGAATCGGATACTAAGAAAATAAAACCGGTTTCAATACCTTATATGCATATCATTAGAAAGCTAAAAAAACAAACGTGCTAAAAATAAATGTCGAGGAAAAAAGAACCGGTTTCCTAATTTTTGAACCGGATATTCAGATTATAAAACCGGTTTCATTGATATTATTTGCATATCATTAGAAAGCTAGTAAACAATTGTGCTAAATTTATTGAACCCGACTATTGTCGGTTCTATTACAGTAAAAACTCGCTAATCCGGATAATTGATTGCAGACCCCAATCCGGATTACCGAGATTATCGAGTTTTATTAATTGGTTTAAGTTTATATTAATTTGGTGATAATTTAATTATTTTTATGTTTTTATTAAAAATGAAAATTATTCATTTCAAAAATATGAACATTGAATATAATAGGTATCATTTTCAATTAAATTTGCAACGATTTTTTTATTAAAATAAAAAGTAACGTATCTTTACAATCCGGATTTTTGAGTCAAATAGGTCAATCAATCCGGATTATAGGATACGCAATGGGTTGTGAAATGCACTCCGGATTACCGAATAATCCGGATTGTCAAGGTCCGGATTATTAAGTTTATACTGTATTTGAATTTGCGGTTCAAAATTTTTCGAAACCCGGTTCTTTTTTCTCGATATTATGTAGAACTGTCGGATTCGTACGAATTATTTTCTTAAAGCAAATATAGTTATGCCAGATACGTCAAATAAATAATTTTCGAAGAAGACAGAACCGGGTTTTTTTCAATTTTTGAACCGGATACTAAGATAATCAGTAGAAAGCTAAAAAAACAAACGTGCTTAAAATAAATGTCGAGGAAAAAAGAACCGGTTTCATAATTTTTGAACCGGATATTCAGATTATAAAACCGGTTTCAATGATATTATTTGCATATCATTAGAAAGCTAAATTTTTTGCTAAATTTATTGAACCGGACTATAATCGGTTTTATTATCTGAATATCCGGTTCAAAAATTTTTCTAAAACCGATTCTTTTTTCCTCGAAATTTATTTTTTTGCGTGTTTGGCATAGTTATATATTTGTTTTTTGAAAATAATTCGTACGAATCCGACAGTTCTTCATAATAAAGAATTTATACTGAATTTTTATTGAAACACATACACAAAGGGTTTTAGTACCGGGACACGGGTAAAATTGAGAAAAGGTCATCAAAACGTGTAAATATCGATTTCTCGTCTTTGAGGACCCTGCGTAAAATCCTATGGGCAACATTTTTGTAGAACATTACATAGAACATAATGTATTTTCAAGAAATGTATACAATAGCTAGAAATCAAGATATGAGGCTATCTCTTCAAGTACAATAGGGCCAGCGAAGAAATTAGCACATCATATCTCCGAAGTTTGACCTGTGGCAAATTTTTCCTTCTAGGGTTTTCATATACACACCAGGATCTTTCATACCCAATAGGAAGTTTTCAACGCCCAAACCTGAGCATCATTTTGTCGCTTAGTGTTATAGGATACCATAATGTCCTCGTACAGAATACCATTCTGTCCTCGTACAGAATACCATTCTAAAAAAATCGGTTTTTTATAAATAAAAATATCGAGTTATTTTTTTTAATAATATTTATTTTGAAATATTAATATATTTTTGTTGTTGTTTTTATATAAATAAATAAAATAATATAAATTATGATAATTATTTTAAAATTATAGTGGACCACATGGTAATGTTGTGTGGTTGTACTTGTTGCATGTTTATGTTTTGTATGTTTATATAGAAACCATTTCCTGTCGAACCAGAATAATACTAGCAAAAAACTTAAAAATAGGTAGTTTTTATTTTGTGGGTTACGAAATTCAGACTCTTAAGAATCCAGCGATAATGAAATATCTAAGGATATATTCAAATCAAGGATCGTCACATTGGGATCAAAAAGAGGATTTTTAGAATGTGAATTTCATGTGGCAATGAATTAGAAGACTTGGGGGGACTTAAAAAATATAGGTAATGCAGGGTAACTTAAAATTAAGGTAAAGGTTTGGATTTTTGTTTTTTAAATTTCAATTAAATTTGTAAGCAAGGACTTGGCAGATAACTTAATTATTTGTTGTTGTTATGTTTTGTATTTTTGTGTGTGTAAATATCATTAAACGATAGCCAGCAAGCGAAAACCTTACAAATCAGCCACCGACTTCCGGCGAACATATTTGGCAAAATAATCAGGACGCCAACATTTACACGAGCCAGGAATCAAGAACCAATCATAGTAGAGACGAACCTGGAAACATCCAATCTCATCGTGGCCATCACAGTGTTGATTGAAGTCGGCATTATTGTGATTAGCGCCATCTGTGGCCACGCCAGCACGTTTCTGCAAATATTGTTGATAGGCTTGGAAATCTTGTACCGAAGGAGCTTGAGTTGTGGTCGAGGGTTGAGGTACAGTATCCTCAGCATTGGGATAAAAGATTTCCGCAACCAACAGACTAACCCAACGTGGTGATGACAAACAGCCACCATCCAAATAATGGCATCTAGCCTGAATGCAGCGTGTAACTTCGATAGTTTGGGTGAAGTATCCTTCATAGGGAATTTGTACAACATAACGCCAGGAGCCTTGATAATTTTTGGCAAACACTGGTGTGGCATATTCTACTTTGGCCGGGCAGGGGGTGGGTGGTCCTTCATAACGTATGGGACCAATTTCTTCACGTCTCTCGGCCGTCAATGGGGATGCTGAGGGCGCCGAGTGCGAGTTGTCACCTTGCAGGGCTTTGTAAATCGAACAGAAACTGAAAAAAGGAAAGGGGGGAGAATTATTATTTGAAATTATTTCTTATAGAAGACTATTTGGTTCAATAGATCTCCTAAAGGTTAAGATTTGGTATTCTTATAATTGATCAAAAGGTATTCCTAAAAAAAGAGAAAGAGATATTTTGGTCTTTTATAAAAAAAAACCTAATGGACCTCTATTCTATAAGAAGAACATTTGGACCTTAGACTTGCCCCAGAAAACCTACGGTCTTCCATAAGAAATCCTAAAGGCATTTCGGGATTCTGTTAAAAGACTTCTATAAACAGAACTCTTGTTCGTCTATAAGAAATCTATCTGGTCTTCATTAAGACGACCTTTTAGTCATCTATAAACCAGTAAGGAAAGTAGTAAAGTCGGACTGGGCCGACTATATGATACCCTTCACCTCTTTGGGTATATTTTACATATGTATCCTAACAGACGACGCGTTTTGTTATAAATCCGTATCTGAACCGATTTCAGGGACTAATTTATATAACATCAGTACGTTGTATTAATCGGACTAGCTATGGACCTTTTCACGAAGCTTAGTAACATCATTCTAGACTTAATTCAGTACCCTATACCAAAATTCGTGAAAATCGAAAGATATATAGGTTCTTTGGTGCATCAATTATCTTTAATCGGAGAAAATGCAAATGGGAGCAATATCTAAAACTGAATCGATTTTCGAAACTTGGCAGACATCATTCTCGATTTTATTCATAACTCTGTACCAAATTTCGTGCACATCAAAAGATTTCCAGGGTCTTTAGTGGACTATTTACCTAAAATCGGGCGAAGCTATATATAGGAGCTATATCTAAATCTAAACCGATTTTCACGAAACTTTGCACACATCATTCTATACTTAATTTAGAACGCTGTGCCAAATTTCGTGCCAATCGAAAGATATATAGGGACTTTGGTACACAATTAACCTTAAATCGGACGAAGATATATATGGGAGCTATATCTAAATCTGAACCGATTTTCACGAAACTTGGCAAGCATCATTCTAGACCTTATTCATTACGCTGTGCCAAATTTCGTGCAAGTCAAAAGAATTCCAAGGACTTTAGTAGACTATTTACCTAAAATCGGGCGAAGCTATATATGGGAGCTATATCTAAATCTGAACCGATTTTCTCAAAACTTTGCACACATCATTCTAGACTTAATTCAGTACACTATGCCAAAATTCGTGCAAATCAAAAGATTTCCAGGGACTTTAGTGGATCATTTAACTAAAATCGGGCGAAGCTATATATGGGAGCTATATCTAAATCTAAATCGATTTTCACGAAACTTTACACATATCATTCTAGACTTAATTTAGTACGTTGTGCCAAATTTCGTCCAAATCGAAAAATATATAGGGACTTTGGTGCACCATTTACATTAAATCGGACGGAACTATATATGGGAGCTATATCTAAATCTGAACCGATTTTTACGAAACTTAGCACACATCATTCTAGACTTAATTGAATTCGATATGCTAAATTTCGTGCAAATCGAAAGATATATGGGGACTTTGGTGTACCATTTACCTTAAATCTGACGAAGATATATATGGGAGCTATATCTAAATCTGAATCGATTTTCGCGAAACTTTGCACACATCATTCGTGACCTTATTCATTACGCTGTGCCAAATTTCGTGCAAATCGAAAGATATATAGGGACTTTGGTGCACCATTTACCTTAAATCGGACGAAAATATATATGGGAGCTATATCTAAATATGAACCGATTTTTCCCAATTTCAATAAGGTTCGTCCTTGGGCAAAACAAATGAGCTGTGCCAAATTTCATTCAATTCGGATCATAAATGCGAACTGCACTTTGTTTACAATTTAACATGGACAGACGGACATGCATAAATCGACTTAGAAATTATGCATATTCTCAAAAGGAACCATGGGTCTATCTCGATTATTTTTGCCTGTTACAAACATATGCACAAAGACATAATACCCTGTACCACAGTGTGGTGTAGGATATAAAAAATACTTAATGGATCTCTACTCTATAAAAAGGTCATTTTCGTGGTCTTCTAGTAGAAATGGTTTTCTACAAGAAACCCAAACGATCTTCTGGGTTTCCAAGGTCCAAATGGCTTTCTGCTAATAGAAGTCTTGTAACAGAATCCCGAAAGGTTTTCTTATAGAAGACCAATAAGAGTTCCAAGACGTTGGTGAGTATATGAAAACCACAGAAGGAAAAATTCGCCACATGTCAAAGTTCGGAGATATGGCGTGATATTTTTGTTAGCAAACCTATTATACTTGAAGAGATAACTTCATTTGTAGATATTTGTGGATATCAAATTTCTTCCGTAAAATCCAGAACATTTTATCCTTCTAACTCGATTCCTTGTGTGTCCTTTTCGTACTTAATTTTATGAACCGGGTTCCAATTATCACAAGATGTGATTTTTCATCCTAGCAATGTTCTACAAAAATGTTGCACAGAAGATTTTAGTTGGGGTCCTCAAAGATGACTAATCGATATTTTAAGGTTTAAATGGTCTATTCTCAATTTTACCCGTTTCTTGTCACTAAAACCGTATATGTATGAATTTCAATAAATTCAGTATACAGTCCTTATTATGTAGAAATGTCAGATTCGTCCAAATTATTTTCTAAAAATATATAGAGTTACGCCAAATACGCAAAAAAAAAATCCTGAAAAAAAGAATCGGTTTCCGAAAATTATTGAACCGGATATTCAGATAATAAAACCGGTTTCAATACCTTATATGCATATCATTAGAAAGCTAATAAACAAATGTGCTAAATTTATTGAATCGCACTAGTATCGGTTTTATTATCTGAAAAACCGGTTCAAAAATTTTCGGTACCCGGTTCTTTTTTCCTCGAAATTATTTTTTTTCTTTGGCTTGTTTGACATAACTATATATGGCTATACGCAAAAAAACGTGAAAAAAAGAATTGGTTTCCGAAAATTATTGAACCGGATATTCAGATAATAAAACCGGTTTCAATACCTTGTATACATATCATTAGAAAGCAAATAAACATGCTACATTTATTGAATCGAACTATTATCGGTTTTAGTATCTGAATAACCGGTTCAAACATTTTCGAAACCCGGTTCTTTTTTCCTCGAAATTATTTTTTTCTTTGGCTTGTTTGACATAACTATATATGGCTATACGAAAAAAACGTAAAAAAGAACCGGTTTCCGAAAATTATTGAACCGGATATTCAGATAATAAAACCGGTTTCAATACCTTATATGCATATCATTAGAAAGCTAATAAACAAACGTGCTAAATTTACCGAATCGGACTATTATCGGTTTTAGTATCTGAATAACCGGTTCAA